AAATACCAGTTCTAATCATTCATCAGTAGTGGGGGGCATTTGACTGTTCTCAATAGTTTAGTATTGTGAATAATACTTAAATAACCATGGTTTGCATTTTATTGGTACAACCGTGACTCACATTCCCTTTGGGTTTTATTCCCAAAGAGTGGATTGGGTGGAGTCAATATGGCAAGTTCTTTTTTTAGTTTTTTTGAGGAACCTCCATGCTCGTTTTCCATAGTGGTTGATCTTTTCTTATGCAATAGTTACAAAATGTATGATGTTATAGTATATTTATGTACAAGAGGTTATAGTAAATATTTATATTCCATCTGTCACTGAAAAGTTTTAAAAAATGGTGGAGAATGGGCAAATTGGTATGGTTCCTAGGCAGGAATGAATGCCAAGTTGAATAAAAGAAAACATTAAAAGGTTTTTTGGCAGGGGCGTTCAGTATTGGGTTTGAACTCTGGCTCATTCTGTGAGGCAGGCCAGTCTATGCTTGAATCATGCCTTCTGGCCCCTCAAAATTGTGTTTTCTAAAGTCAATGAGATACCTTGAAAATCACCAGAACAGAGGAAGTAGAGAATAGTGGTTTGGGGAGCTGAGAGAGGACAGGGGTTTTTATTATAATCATGTGATTATAAAAATTATTGAGATATCTTGAAGGGACCTTTTCCCCCTAGGCATTCTTGGATCCCTAAAAGGTTTTGTTTTCGCAGTTACATGAATGTCATAAATCTGTAATAGCCAGGAATTAGTCCTATGCTTTTAGTAGTATGGGCTCAAGGGCGAGAAATGAGTTCTTTGAGATTTGGGGGAAAGAATGAAGAGTTTGAATAGGAAATTTTCAGCTCTCGATAATGATAGATAGATTCCAGAGTGTGCAGTAATTTTTTACTGTCAAGCAATATTAAAATCTGCCATAACTGACAATCAAAACTTATGCCCCAATAAACATTGCGAACAATAGTTTGTCAAAAGGATAAAAGGTAAGTACGATGACTGGGTGGGGTTTTGTTTTAAGAATATGTATATTTTATATATTACAGAGAACCTTGTCACTTTAGAATTAAAAAGCTTACAATATACCCTTATTTAGTATTGAAAAGAAAAAGTTAAACCCTTGAATAGATGAAGAGAGGAGTCCTAGTAACTTTGTGCAATGAGAGCAAAATTGTATCCAGTGCTGGGTCTCTACCTACCAGGTCTCTGTTACTGGGTGCTGCCACAGTGTTGCTGTAAGATTTTTGCCAATGATGGTGGAAAGCAATGCTCTTTTGGGCCGAGTGTGATGTCCATTTAAGGCAAGAAAGGAAGATATAGATGAGGGTCACCTATTAGCTCAGTGTTGGTGAAAGGTTTGGGCAGGACTGTTAATTTTACCAGATCATGGCCTTGTCAACAGGAGTATAATTTGGAACTGTCTGTCAAGCTCTGCCTACAACCACCTTCCTCCCCGACTTCCATATCTGCAAACGCATCCTCTTTCGTATTCGTTTTTCAGGTCTTTAGAAATTAAGTATTTCCTGTCTCTCTGTAATGTCTTGGAATGTCATTATGCTTATAAAACCAAACCTCAAAAATGCATAAGTGTTTCAGTTATCAGGTGTGTTTCCATTTTGGTCCAAATAAAGTAACTCTTGCAAGTAAATTTATTGTTACAGACAATGAAGTAATTAGTAACATCCTTTCATTCCCACATTCCCCTCCTTCCCTTTCTTCCTCTCTCATCTTTGTTTTCCACTCCAAAATCTTTCATTTTGTCAACCATTTGTCCTCATAGTTATGTCTTCTATTGTGCATGAAGGCAAAGGATGTGGAACCAATTTACATTGAGTCAGATTAACTTCTTACGGAATAGGGACCTTTTGTTTTTCAGTTTCATTTCCATTCCTCAGTCCGAAAGCATTTTCCATTTGTAATATAATACTGAATAATGATAATAATAGTGACAATTCCACTGTCATGGAAATATATCATTCCTTTTCTTCAGTTTGACACATGAACATCTTTTAGTCTCTTTCAATTCTTTTCCCATTGTTCTATTTCTGTAATGCTGCTTTGAAACTCCAAGCCAGAAGATGGCAAGGGCTGGAACACAGTGGTTTAACCAGTTGCTTTGTAGTTAAGGATATTATTCTTTAGTATTATTCATAAGACTGTGACCAATACTGGGAAGGAATTTTAGGAATGGGTCCAGCAAGCTCTATGATATTTAAGCATAAAATGTGGCGGCTGCCATTTGTTCTGGATACACTTTTTTCTTGCTAATAGGCCCAGAGGAATTCTTTTCCTGTTAGCATGCTTGTGCTCTGTAAGGTTCAAAAAGTATCTTGTAGGTTGATCTCTACTTCTTTTTTTGTTAACAAGATAATGCATGCTTAAGAGACCCTTAATACTCTAGGAGCATCATACAGAAGAAATAAAAAGATACGACATTAGAAATCTCTTTAATACCATGTAATGGCCAGTACATTCTTGCAAATTATAGGGTGGCTCTATAAAATCTTGTCTGGGTTCTTGAAACCAAAAAATAATTTAATGAATCCATTAATAAATGTCCCATTCAACCATGTACTATTTTAGGTGAAGACATAAAAGCATTGATAAGGAAGTCACTAGGTAGAGAATTCCCTATTAGAAGATAATCTAGACAATAGAAGCTTATTTATCACAGGCAGTTGTTATGGTGGTAGAAAATGCCAAAGTAGTTAAAGTTATAGGTTTTCCTGGTATGAGTAGGAAGGTGACAAAGGGAGGTTCATTTTCTGTCCCTATGATCTCATCTAGTCTTTGAAGGATAATGAGGATGAGAAGGAAATTCCCTTAATTCTTTTTCTCTGCATGTATTTGAGAGACAAAATAGGCCTGGTATTTGGCATTGATCAATATCACAGACTTTGGAATATGTGTTTCTTTTATAAATAGGGTGATTATTTTTCCCTTGATCTCTGCTCTTTGTATTTTCATGCCCTCTTCCCTCAGAATTGCCTGAGGTTCCATCCACTGAGGAAGAAGTGGAAGAAACAGAGTCCTGGGCAAAACCTCTCATCCATCTTTGGCAGACGAAGTCTCCTAACTTTGTGGCTGAGCAAGAGTACAATGTAGCCACAGCAAAAATGGAGCCGTACTGTGCTATCTGTACTCTGCTCTGCCATACTACAAGTAACTCAGGGTGTGACTGTCAACACATCCTTTCACTATTGCATTTTCTTTGTAACTGTCCACCCATGAGGTCATCTGTTAATCATTGTAGGCCAGTATGCACATCAGATTGAATTCAATAATGCTTTTTAGCTAATGGCCTTCCTAGAACAAGAAACAATTTCTACATGCTTGTTAGGAACCCATTTTTCTGACAGTATCATTTTTTAGTATCTTCGTTTATTTCGAGGGAGGAGTAATTCTAACCTTTCTACTCCTTTTATCAAGAAACATCAAACTTAAAGCTTAAAAATAGAGCCTTATAAATACAGAACTTAGACCTGGTCTCTGTTTAAGTTTGAAAATGGTTCTCTTAAGCAATATCAATATCAGCCCTGGGCCCTAATTTTTAATGTCTTTCTTCACCTCACCATGTGGAACTTGCAAAAGACACAGCCAGTTCTCAATAGAAACTCAGTTATCCGGTTCACCCCCTCAGCCAGCTGTGCTTGAAGTTGTTTCCATCATTATTCCATGCATATTATACTGACAGTTTCTCAACTCAGGCAGGATCACATTCTTCACCTCTCACACAGAAGAAATGATCTTTAGGAATCAAATGAATGGAATTATATGCTGTTTTAGGGTAGAATATATTACAAAGTGTATTGATATGAACATTGTGTTTTAGGTTTTTCTTTCACTAGAAGAATCAGAAATACTTTGCTCAAAATCACATTTTTAGAGTTTTTGTAAGAGTACATTTATTCTTTTCATATGTTTCTTAGAAGACTGCATGATATTTCATATTTTTAGATTTTTATAGATAGAAGTAGTTTACTTACTTCATGTTTTTGAATATGACACTGGTGAGTGACAAACATTTTTGTTTTTAGCCGTTAGATTTTTGAGTTTTAACTTTTTTTCTTTTCTTTTTTTTTTTGGTGGATATAGAGTTTGAACTCAGGGCCCTTCACTTGCTAGGTAAGGTCTGAAACCATTCCTTGGCCAACCTGTAATTTTAACTTCTTATTGATTATTATGTCAATAAGATTTGCCAATTTTTCCATAACTAAAAATTTTCCAGGTAAATTATTGAGATGGGAAAATTTATTAATATTAAGATGTCTATAAAGGTAAGGTGTAATTAGTTATGCTTTTAGTAAGAAATTTAGTAAGCATAATTAGTTATGTCTTCAAAATAGTGCTAACATGTTTTTATATATTTGGTGAGCTATTAGGGGTTTTTTTTGGCACATGATCCTTTCTTATCTTGGTCACATACACTATTCTGTGATGTTTATATAAGCCTTGTGAGAGGCAGATGCCTTAGAAACCTCTTTCACTGCTGTTCCCCGATTAAAATGGGTCTCTGAAAATACTCCTTCAAAGGGTAACCAGGTAATATTTTTTCAGTAAATGAAAGCAGTTTTTAAACCTAGTACAAATAACTAGGCAAACACATCAATAGAATTGATTCATTCCATTAACTGTTTCTGGACAAACACAGTTAAGTAGCTCATCTCTTTCTTGTATGAGCATACATTCAGAATATTCTCTTGTTTCTATGGATTTGCTTTTGGCTGGGAGTCTGAGAAGGAGCACTGATAAAAAACTAGAAATTGGATTAAGAACAACAACAGATGGGCTGGTGTATTGACTCAGGTTCCTGCCTAGCAAGCACAAAGCCCTGAGTTCAAACTCCAGTACTGCTCCTTCCTCCCTGAACCCCCATTTTCCCCCAAATAAAAAACCCCCAAAACCCAGGTAGGATATAAGTTGGAAGTCTGTGGTTGCAACAGTTATTAGTGGATTGATGTGGCCTGAATGAATGAACTCTTTTGCATGTTTTTCACTCATGTGGAAATGTTGTGTTTTTCAGGCAGATAGAAGCAATGAAGAAAATGATACTAGATGGGAGACAAAATTTAATGAATTGTCCATGTCAAGAGAAAAAACTAAGCCCCTCATTCCAGAGATGTGTTTTATTTACAGTGAAGAAAACATGGACTATTCCCCACCCAATGCCTTCCTTGAAGAAGATGGAACAAGTCTTCTAATTTCTTGTGCAAAGTGCTGTGTACAAGTTCATGCAAGTAAATACATCTGTAATTCTTCAGTCACTGGCTTTTCAGTCATTACCTAGTTCTTATTTCTCACCTCTTTGGAACTTGTCAAGTCTGTTGCATTGAGCTGTTAGCATTCTTAATATTGGGTCATTCTCACATTTCTTCTTGTGAAACTGAGTGGACAGCCATCCTTTCCTTTCCATTTTATGCAGTGCCAGTGGAGAGTAAGTCTGGATTTTTTGTTTTTTCGACCAGCTGAGGTGTCATTAGGATGCTCCTTTCACATATTTGAATTTTATTTTAAGATACAAAAATTGAATTTGAATGTTCAATACTGATTGATGGTTATATTTCTTTGTGACTTTTTAAAAGAAAAATGAAATTCCCTTAGTAATTCTGAGAATTATACTTCATAAGGTAGTCTGTACTGTTTTTCAGGGGGTTATAGTCATTACAATAATTTTCCCCTGGAATGAGATGGTTAAGCTCCATATCTGAATCATTTGTTAATTTTACACAGGTGGATAGGTAAGTACATCTGTAAAAAATTGGCTTGCCATGTAAGTTCTATTGAAGACATTGAAAAACCTATTATATACTACAACTTTGTTTTAAAGCACTTTATAATTTCAGATTTTACTGAACTATGTATTTTTCTTTATTTTTTGCCTTTTCAAAAATTGTATTCTTTTTTTAAGAAAAAATTTTTTTTGTTTTTGGAATTGAACTTGGGGCCTCATGCAATCCATGCAAGCAGTCTGCCAGTGTGCTATGTCCTTTGCCCTTAATTACATATTCTGTGAACATACTATGTCTGGTCTGTTAATCCCAGTGTAGTTTGAATGGTTTATGATATAGCTATCATCTTCTTTGTTTAGGCTGGAACAATGATAGTTTTATACCAGAGTTAATTAGATACCAGGTGCTTCCCCAAATAATTTGAGCATCACTTGCTTAAAAAATAGTAGCACTCTTCTTGTATTAATATCAATTTGTAACATGCACATACATACACATAAAATTCATTATTATGTACATTCAAGAGACCAAGCACTTGGACACAAGAAATGGAGATTTAATCTTGATTCCTGAATTTGCCAGCTATGTAGTCTAGTCACAATATTTTATAAACATGTGCTTGAACTTAGTATTTTATGCTTTTTTACTGAAATCTTATGTCAAAAATTAATCTTTTAAATATTTCAAAACCCTCTTTTTTCAGAAAGTGATGATAAAATGTGCTCTTTTCCTTTCTGTTCCTTTTCTTGTTTTTCCTTTTGAGACTGGGTTTTAACTGTATAGCCATCATGCTGGACTTGAATCTGGCATTTTCCTTCCTTATCTTTCTGAGTCCTGTGATTACATGCAGATGCCAGTTTAGCCATCTTAATTTTTTTCTTTCTTTCATGCTGGGGATCAACCCTAGTCACATGTTTCTAGGTGCCATATAATTACTGCATATATTTGCACCATCAGTCATCTCCTTAGTTAGTTTGGGCCAGGCATTGACTTACCAGACAAATTGAACTGAAGACATCCTTTCATCAGTAATCATGGACTGTGTAGCCTTCATCCCATTACTGAAATTAAAGCCAACTGTATTTAATTTTGACATGTAATTTTAAGTTATGTTAATTCCAAAAATAATATGTCAAAATTTATTTATTTTAATATTTCACAAAAGTGCTTCATGAATTGCATCTTATTTTTTATGTGTAAGTGAAAGACTAGACTTGACAGTTTAGAAGTTTAGTTATTGTTCATTCAAAGATTATCTTAATGTGAGCATTAGTTAGCGTTAAGAGCCACACACACTCTGATATCTTATTATGAAGCATTAGAAATAAAAGTTACTTTGAGACAGACTTGTGTATGTTTTTTCCTAAGCTGTACAAACAGTACAGTAGACCATTGTCCTGACTTTATTTATTTACTTTTTTGTGAAATGTAACATTTTAAAGATACAAGAGACCTAATGGAGGATTCATGTTATAATTTTCTAGGTTGTTATGGTGTTCCTTCTCATGAGATCTGTGAAGGATGGCTGTGTGCGCGGTGTAAAAGAAATGCGTGGACAGCAGTAAGTATCTTAATTTCATTATTGCTTTATTCCTCCTTTCACCTTTAAACCTAATGGAAAGATAAGCTTGCTCACTTGTTCTTCTGTACTATTCTACACTTTCCTGTTGTTGTATTTTGCCTTTTCCAGATCATCTGACATGCCAGCTCTGTTGCCACTGCAGAAATAAATGTTAAGTAAATTTTGTGTAATAGTTTTCTACATTGGAGTCTCGTGGGCCTTTTAGTTTACCAAGTCCACATTTACATTTTCAAGGCCTGAAAATTTTGTTTTATTTTCCTGCCCAGTGCTATTTTTGCAGTCCTTACAAATAAATATTCTGTGTAATCATCAAGGCGTGGGTCCCCACTGACCCCTGAAGTAACCATGCTCATCTCTAACTTTCATACTATCATGAGACTTTTCTTCCACTCATTTACCTTGATTAATAATACATTAACAAATTTTAGAGTGCTCTATACTGGGCATTGCCATGAGCTTGAAAGAGATTATTTCTTAAAAAAAAAGATCCTGCATTTTGCAGACCCAGATTTTTCTTGGTTTAAATTGTTTTTGGTAAAAATTGTGTTGGAATTTAACTTGCATCCAATGTTTGATTTCTGTTCCATTAATCTACTATGTCATTCTGTTATGTTCTATGTTAATTTTTCTTAGAAATTATGTTAGCTTTCAAGAGCAATAAGAACACTCTGAAACGTGATGACCTGACAGATTGCATCACTGGGGTGATCTCAGAATAGTGTTGAACTAGATGCTATCAATTGTGAGAGTAGCAGTTCCTTTATTCTTCAACAATCACTGATGATAAAATATTAAGTTTCCTTGCTATCAAAGTTAAAAACCTGAAGGACAAATGAGCAATATGCTTTGCATGATGAAAATTTATGTCATTATGTATAGCTACATCTCAGTGTAATGTAGAGATCTGGTGACTGTAAATTAAAGGATTCATTGCTGGTATTCACTTTGGGTATGGAGGGAAAAAGGGAAGAAAATATGGACACTCTTCATAGTCCAAAAAATATTTGATGTCAGAGGTCATATATCCTACTTAAGAAGCTCTGCATTAGTAGCCAAAAATATTTTGGTATGATTAATTAGGTTACATATTCCAAGGAAATACAGAACATCTTTAAAACAGTTCCAAGTTTCTGCTTCTGCAGTCTGTGTAAATATATCTAGTTCTTACTAGACAGGTCCTATTCCATTGTATGAGCCAATGTAAAGTCTTATAGAATCAGTGTGATTGATAATGTCCTCTAATTCACCCTGCAGAATTAGAAATAAATTTAGAATTTAGAGACCATCTAATCTAATCCAGTTTACTAAGATGTTCAGCGTTTTCTGTTCCATCCACAGTTATTGCCTGGCTCCTGTGCTAATAAATTGAACAGTCCTGTTGTCCAAGATCCCATTGTTCTTTGCATGGCAGAGCCAAGGCCAGGACTTAGACTTTCCATACTGATTTTAAAGTTGGTTCTCATCAACTGTGCTAGTATTATGTGATGTGCTTTAAAAAAAAGTACTTATGTAACATGCTTTGTGAAGGTAAAGTTACTCATTAGAAAATCAAATATTCCTATATTTAGGAATTTATAGCATATTTAGGGACATATGATTTTGCAAACAAATACTACTTTTTAATTGTTTCCTTTTATGGTAAGTGGTTTTGAACATGTTTTGTTCATCTTTATAAGATATATGTGAGAATTACATGTGGTATGTATATGTTTTAAAAAGATACATCTTTTTTTTTTAATTTTTATTTTTTATTATTCATGCGTGCATACAATGCTGGGGTCATTTCTCTCCCCTGCCCCCATCCCCTCTCTTACCACCCACTCCGCCCCCTCCTCTGCCCCCACTCCCTCGATATCGAGCAGAAACTATTTTGCCTTATCTCTAATTTTGTTGAAGAGAGAGTATAAGCAATAATAGGAAGGAACAAGGGTTTTTGCTGGTTGAGATAAGGATAGCTATACAGGGAGTTGACTCGCATTGGTTTCCCGTGCATGTGTGTTACCTTCTAGGTTAATTCTTTTTGATCTAGCCTTTTCTCTAGTTCTTGGTCCCCTTCTATTGGCCTCAGTTGCTTTTAAGGTATCTGCTTTAGTTTCTCTGCATTGAGGGCAACAAATGCTAGCTAATTTTTTAGGTGTCTTACCTATCCTCATATCTCTCTTGTGTGCACTCGCTTTTATCTTGTGATCAAGTTCAATCCCCTTGTTGTGTTTGCCCTTGATCTAATGTCTGCATATGTGGGAGAACATACGATTTTTGGTCTTTTGGGCCATCTTAAAAAGAGAGAATATGATTATGCTATATCATAATGCTAAGAATCAAGAATATTTTGGAAGGAAAGTAACCTAAGTATTGTTTCACCCAATCTCAGACAATAAATAACTAAATTCTTATGTGACATTATAGTAACTTTTTGTTAGCTTTCTTCTGGGGAGGATAATGGAGCATGCCTGTAAGGGTGGAATCCCTATTCACTGACCAGATTGTCTTTCTGTTTACCAGTTTTAAAGTGTAGATGTCACTATGGACTCAATTACTTTGCTGGTGTTTAAGTAACTGGAGGACAGAGTCCTGCCTCATATACTTCTGTAACACCCCTAATACTGGATCTTTCTGAGGGTTGTTGATATGTAGTCACATAGGCCAGATCTTTATTTTGGTGTTCATTGCCCTTGCCATTTCCAGAGATTAGATTCAGGTCTCAGTCTGACCAGTCTTGTTACAATTTCTTTGCTTTATCCATTCAAGTCATTTAAGCTAAGAAAAAGGAAGCTGTTTTGAAGCTTCAACTGCATGTGCTTGAGGAAGAGATTATAGATTTTTTATTTTATCCAAATTTGGATTTAAGATTATGACTCTGTGCCCACCTTCAAATGGAATGGAATAATGACCCCCACAGATACGTAGCTTTAGATTCAGGTTTTATATTTCATAGGACTAATTAGATATTATTGCTTTAAGTTTTGGCCTTTTCCTATATCAGTATTACTCAATAAAGTAAACACAATGATCTGAAACTTGTGTCTGAGGTAATGTTTTATAACTAACTGTATTAAGTTTTTTTTCAGCTCTACTTTTTTGCAGCTCTTTTTTGTCTATATAATTCCTTTTGGAGCAGTTTTTCTTCCTTCAGAGAATATTGAATACATTGGCTAGCCCTGTTTTTAGTTGTACAAAATCAGTATTTTGATTTTAGTGTTGGGGTCTTGTTATTTTGATTCTTTATGTATCTTTTATCACTATTCTATAGTTTTCATTATAAATACCTGCTGATTAAATTGGAAAGCTTGTAATATCACTATAAAATACAGAATTTCATTCTTTCCTGTTTCCCTCACCATTTTCTTCTCTTTGTCCTTACATTGAAAAATCTTCTGAGGCTAGGTATTTCTGTGAAACCTGAAAACTGCTTTACAGTCATACTTTCAATTTTGAAGGAGATATAGTTGAATGTCTAGAATAGGCTAGTAACCTAAACACTTATTTTTCTTTTTTATAGTAAAAATAATAGATAATAGTAACATTTATTAGGGAAGGAATTTAGTATAGCAGGATAAGAGTGGAGACAAATGGGAAAAAAAAGAGAAACATTTCCTGCTCCCCATGAAAGAAATAGAAGTAAAAGCTCCTCTAAACCCTTACTTTTAGGATAAAAATTAAACGTTAAGTCTTTAGTGCTTTGTAGCCTATTTTCCATGTGATCTTCTAGAGAATTTAAAATACAGAAGTATGCACAATAAGTAAATATAAGCAAGTGAAAGAAGTTCAAAAGGAATTTGCATAAAGGTTGTCTTTTAAATTAAGAGGTAATGTAACCATTTGGCATTCTTTCTAAGAAATTGTGGTATTTCTTCTCTGACCTTTCTGAGAATGGGGGCTGTTGGGTTTTGTTAGAGTGCCATAAATGTGAGTGCAAACTGTGTAGTAAGATTGGTAACTTAACATAATAGAAGTCACAGAAAGTCACATAGTACTTAGATTTGTGAATTTTGTCGACCATGAGTTGCTAGCCTCCATACATGGCAGTGTTGGGCTCATGCTATCGTTTTTCATTGTTAGTTTCAAAACTAACAAGTGAAGTATCGTTTATGCTATATATTATTAGGGGTCATTTTATTACCTTAAGTAATTCTTGGTAGGTAGGCAGGTACTTGTAGTAGCTCATATACTATATACTAAACAGTATCTAAATTGAAAGAAGATTTAAGAGCAATGTAATGAAAGTTTTGACCAGAGATTTATATTTAAATTCTATTCTAACCCTAAAATTCCTTGATTCTGATTTGCTTAGTGTTTCCATTTTAGTTTAGTTTTCCTTAAGAACTGGAGGTCTTGAAGAAAGCTAAATTTATTTATGTACTTCTTAATATTTTTGACGGTGATAGATAACCAGAAAGTATAGGAATAGCATGCGATACTAGTAATTATTGGACAAATGACAATTTCCATACTATTATGTTATATTTTTATACAGTATTTATTAGTGGAAATGAATAATTTGTATCATACTGTAATGAAATTTGTTATTACAAATTTGCTCAAACCTGTAGAATGTACAACAGTAAGAATAATCTTAATGTAAACTATGGATTTTGAGAGATAAGGATCTGCCAGTGTTGGTTCATCATTTGTAATATATGTGCCACTCTGATGGGGGAGTTTACACTGGTGAGGATACGCATTTTTGGGGCAGAAGGTATTTGAGAAAGCTCTACTCTTCTCAGTTTTTCTGTGACCCTGAAATTCCTGTTAAATACAAAGGCTTTACTTATTTCAAAGCTTTACTCTAGTCCTGTGTACTTGCTGTGTTAGAATGCATGGCTGTGTACATTCTGCTCTAAATTTCTTTTTATTTCATTAAATCCCTTTATGCTTTTTTCACATTTTTATTGTCATATATTAATTATATAATCTGGGTAGATTCATTGTGATATTTCCATATGTAGAATATATATTCCCCCCATTAGTCTGTGTTATCC